GTTCGTGGGCGGGAACATTGTGTGCCCGAGTCGCATTGAAGTGTGCTATATCCACTAGGCGCGCAGTGCTGGCGCTGATGTGAGTCAGTTGGTATCGATTTTCCCCTTAATTTCAGTGGTCATGCTGATCACGGTTTTAGTATTAATGTGTTGATTGTAGCATAGGAAGCGCGCTGCGCAAACGCTAAATTTGTGATGTTTGGGTTCGTGCTAGGGGCAGGTAGCTCCGAGCGGCAACACCTTTCTCTTCTTTTTCCACACTTGAAGATAAAACTGACACAAAAATAACAAATAAAAATGTGTGTTTTTTCCCCTCTTTTTTCTACCATATGTGTCTAATGGCTGTGTGTTTTTTTTACAGCTACTGCAAGCGAGGGAAAAGGGGTTACAGCGGTGTGCGTGACACACAACGCGTGGGAAAAGTTGTCTTTATTGTGTCGGAGATTAATATTATTATTATGTGTTGGGGGAGTTGTGGGGAGTGGTAATGATTTTACTTTTGTTATTATTATTGCTGGGGGTCATTCCAGGGGAGTGGGGCAGGTTTGGCGCGCATGCGGTGGGGTAAACAGCCCGGTGTGATTCTCTCGGATGTGCCATTGCGTGCCGCTTCTCTCAGTGCATGGTTTTTGAAGGAAGATTAAGTTCATGGGCAGGTTTGTTTGCTGCCCCCCGCAAACGCCGCACCGCACACTTTTTGAGATAGGTTGGACAGCCGCGGCTGAATGGCCCAACAGCTTGTTTGCCGCGCTTTTGCTTGGCGCATTCCCCGCAATTGAGTTGCCATTGCTGGGGGCCTTTGGGCCGTGGACGAAGAAAAAGGAAACGAAAATGGATTTTGCCTTTCTGTGGCATTCCCTGGCGTTTTCGCCACGCCTGCGAGCCGGGAGTCCATCAGGGCAGTTGGCGGTGCACCGCCGGCCCTTTCGTAGTGGGCAGCCGGCTCTCGGAGAGGGTGCGTCCGGGACCCCACTGGCGGACGAGGGCTTCCGCGAGTAACGGCGTGCCCACGTTCAGTTCCAGGCGGTGCGGCGTCAGCTGGGAGGGGTGCCGGCCGTTGCCTCGCCAAGAGGCTGCTCGGGCAGAAGGTTTTGGCCACACGTAGGCGCACTTGCGGTGGTGCCTGCGGTGCGGCTTTGCAGCGGCGGATGGAGAAACGCATCGCGGGCACTTGTCGGCGGAAGGTGCGATCCGGCGGCTCCCCGGCACTGGGCGGAGCCTGGGGAGCTCTGAGGGCACCGCGCAAAAAAAAAGAAAAAAAAACCAGTGCCTCCGACAGCGCCAAGGCCGCCGTCGCGGGTGCGGGTGGGTCAGGGGCCCCCCGACCTCAGGCTCCGGAAGTTTGGGAGGCGTAGCCGAACGCGGCACCCCCTGCACCGAGGCGCCTGTGCGCTGCGACGGTCAACGTGCCGGGGTGGTCCCGTAGAAGTCGGGCACCGCATTGGCAATGCGGCCGTCTGCGGCGCCCGCGCCGGCCCGCGTGCGTGGTCGTGAGGGGCATCCTGGCTGCACTCGGCCCGGCCCTCTGCCCCCCGCAGCAACTGCGGCGGCCTCTTGCTTTCGGTGTTGCTGGGGACCCGGGGCGTATTAAATGCCCATATCGCCTGCGGGTGCATCGCGTGCTGGGTGGGCTGTGCGTGGTGTGGGGGCGGCGGGTGCTGCCCAAGCGGTTGCTCTGCTCTCGGGCCGCTCATTCGGCAGTCGGCGTTTCGGGCAGCCAGGGGCGCGGCCAGGCCCGTGCCCGAGTGGCAGGGGGGCGCCGGGTGGAGGGAGGGCGGGGTGGCGTGCCCCGGCGGGTGCGTATCCAGCAGCCGCTTTGCCGCAGGAAGGCAAACGCGTCGCTTGCGGGTGAAGGGGGAGGAGAAGGAGGAGAATACGGGCGAGTGCACCCCATGCACCCTCCGTGGGAGGACCGGCGCCTCGCGCGACGCACTGCGGAAGCGCATGGGCGTGACGCACGGTGGAAGCCCCGCCCGGCCCAGTTCGGCCGCGCCCGGCGCC